TGCAGATATTTTTTACTCTGTCTCTTTATCTTTGTTGTTTTTTAATGTTTGGTTTCATGTCTTACGCACATATGTGTATTGTATACATTTTTTCTAATTTTCTTTTTCAATTTTTTTTTAACTTTGCTTCCCTCTTTATATTACAGTTTAAGAGAAAGAGAAGCATTTCAATTTGCAACTAGAATAAAGGATAAAAGAAACTCGTTCATCATACACCTGAGGAAGGTGAGAGAACATATTGGTAAAAATATTACAAACAGACAAAATGAAGACAGTACTCATAAAACCTGTATAGTATAGTTTAGTAATATTTAGTATCGTATAATGTTTCCTGATCAGCTGTTTATTCTCATTAATGGAGAAAGTGTTTTTATTGTTTCACTGATTCTAAGTCTTGCTTTCCTGTTTTTATGTTTGTTTGGAATTCATTGAATTTTTCTGTTTTAAGTTAGTGCCTTAACTGTAATGTATATTTTTGTTACTTTGGTATAGGGTTTGTGTTATGGTAATTTAGCCATGCATGCATGGACTCTCTCAGCTATAAATAGGAGCAGGTACTGCCTTTTGGAGAGGGAAGTTTCCAGCAGTCAGCTCTGACAGCCGAACCGAACATTCTTGCTGTAACACTCTCATTTGTATATGTTTCTATTACTGTTTCTGTTAATATATTTTTTTAACTCAATTGCTCTGTTGTGTCTTTATTTCTGGCCCTAACAAGGCCGCAACAGTTTGAAATATCAGCGATGTATTCTTTTTGTATTTTACAGGAAAATCCTTCCTGTTTCCGCTATTCCAAAGCAGTATAGCTTATTCAGGTCTTTTGGTTTTGTCTTGTTTTAACAGCAACAAATTCCATAAAGTAATTCCCTTTTGCATTGCTTTTGAGAAAACTTAACACATAATTTATACACACACATGTGCACACACACATGCACAAAGAGAGAAGACAGGAATGGTTAATCTGTCATAAGAGCATACATCATGTGAAAGAGAGTTGTATACACACACACATGCACAAACACATATATATATATTGACACAGAACATTGCTATGCGATGATAACGGTCACGGAATAGCAGATGCATTTCATAAATTCAAGATGCAGTTCTATGACGTCACACCATGTGAGAGGCCAAAATATTAACAACAAAACCATATGTCTAGATGCAATGTAATGTGTTGTGACTCGTTTGAAATGTAATTTTGTTGAGTGTGGGTAGCTTTGTTTTAATGTAGATAGCCTTCAATATATATATATATGTAATAATGAATACAGAATTGTTAAAAATCCATCATGTCAGGTTATAATTTATTTCGTGGACCTCAAATGTCCATCTCTTCAGATCAGTTTTACATAAATAAATGGAGTTAAATTCATTCAGACACAAGGAAAAGGAAAAGAAGAAGATCAGAAAGAAGAGAGAGAAAAGAGAAAAAGGAAAAAGTTTTAATATTAAAAGGGGAAAGAAAAAAAAGAGGAAAAAGATAGAGATCTTCTTTTTCTTTTCTTTGTGTCTGAATAAATTAAACTCCATTTATTAATGTAAAACTGATCTGAAGAGATGGACTTTGAGGTCCAAGAAATAAATTATAACCTGACCTGATGGATTTTTAACAATTCTGTATTCAATATTATATTGCTCTGTTCTTACATTGAGCACTCTTTGGATTTATATCCTCCTTGGAATTATCCCTACTAATCATCAAATGATATAATATATATATATATATATATATATATATATATATATGAACACACACACACACACAGATATATATATATATATATATATAATAAAACTTTTTACAAGCAAGGGTTTACCTTGTCTGGGAAACAGTTATATTAAAAAGTGCTCAATACACAATTCCAAAAAATTGAAAGTGTAGAGTGTGTTAAGATCTAAAATATTTCAAACACTGAGCTTTTCTGTTATTGCAGTTTCTACCAATAATGGCATCCTTTTTCACTGTCTCAAGAAGCCTTTATTTGTAGAAACCATGGAAGATAGTGGAAAAGGTTAGTGTTTATGTTATTTTAAATCTTATATATATATATTTATAATAAAATTATTGGTAATCCACATGAAATTTTTAAGAGGACATAAATCTGTTGAGAGCTCTATGTCAAAGACAGAGCAAAAATTTCCATTTCCATTTGGTTTACAGGTCTGAAGATTTGAAGCCGTTTTTTATCAACCTCAATGAAATAAATATCACCTATGGGTTTTAAAGTGTTTGTTTTTTATATATATATATATATATATATATATATATATATATATATATATAAATACAGAATCCTTAAAAATCCATTTGATCAGGTGATAATTTATTTTGTGGACTCAGACTTAGATCACTTCAGACCAATTTTACAAAAGATTTTGTAAAATTCGTCTGAAAAGATGGATGTCTAGTCCACAAAATAAATTATCACCTGACTGAATGGATTTTTAAGGATTCTGTATTCATTATTATATTGCCCTGTTCTTACATTGAATTTTCTTTGGATTTATATCCTCCTTAGAATTATCCCTACTAATCATCAAATGATATTATATATATATATATGTGTGTGTGTGTGTGTGTGTGTGTGTATATATATATATATATATATATATATATATATATATATTTGTGTGTGTGTGTGAGAGAGAGAGAGAGAGAGAGAGAGAGAAAGATATAAATTGTGTATGCAAACTTGTGTAGAGTGTAGAAATAATATCATCATATAAATGTAACTTCCTTGAAAAGTTAATAATTTATGAGCTATTTTTCGATAAAACATTATCAATAGATTTCGCTCATTTTTAAGTAACCACTCAAATAAGCAAAGGGAGTCAATTTTAAATAGTGCCTAATTTCAAACTTCTTGCCACACTATCTTTTTGGAATGATACATAGTCTACAGTAACTAAGGTCATTTTGATAATCTTCCTTGACAACAAATTTGACTGGAATGAACTGCTGAAGCAAACATGTTGGTGATGCTTTACAACAGTAAATCCATTGCTTAAGTTGTCAATATATGTGTAATATCAGTAAATATTCATGCAATGGTTTCCAGTTATAGGAAGGTGGATCAGGGTCCTGATTGGTTAACCAGAGAATGGAGTCTGATGTTGAAACACAAGAAATGTCTTGGTCATAAAACATTACTGATGACCTTTCACCCAGTGCCTTAGAAAAGCATATTTAATGAACTATATATAAATAATTATATTGTTTAAAATTTCCTTTATTTGTTGGAGAAGCATGCTCAGTATCAGAGATAGAGCCTTTGTAGGTATGAACATATATATATATATGTTTTGAGTAATAAAAAATACTAAATAATTAAAATTTTCAGACACAATGGGTTGTATATTAATATTTTTTATTTTATTATTTCAATTAAGTTCCTCAACTAGTTTTGCCCAGCATAGCCATCATCAGGAGAAAAAATCCCTGCTTCTTAATAGCAGTGAACTACAGGACTAAATGACTCTCTCTGACGAAAGTGAACTTTATCTTTATTTGTATTTTTTATCGTTAATTTTGGTCAGTCTTTATGTTGGTCAAACAGCTTCTTTGAAGTTGTTTTTAATATAGAGAATGGCAGATTCCTGACTTTAACAATTCCCTCTTTGGTTATTTTGACAGTTTTATACGTTGCTCGGAATGGGATGTGTGTGTTAAGTGTATGTTACCTTTTAGTTCTTTCAGAGTGTGTGTGATGTGTATATGTGTATATATTAGTATGAGTATGTGTATAAGTGTGAGATCTCAACACTTCTGCAAGATATATAAAATCTGAGTTAAATTATACTATGTAAAATTGTTGGTGACTCACTACTGCAGTTTCACCAATTTAGTTAATCAGGTGGTAAACATTAGGAAAAAATTCTTATAATCTAATTGACATATTTCTTATATCATCAGCAATTCTGAAATAATACAAAATAATCCAGATATTGACCAAGAGTCTGCTCAGAAATCTTATGTTTTCATTTTTAATATTTCATCCTTTTTATTTAATAGATTTTTTTATATATATATATATATATATATATATATATGAAAATTTCTCAAAGTTAACCTGTAAAAAATACAATATTTATAAATATAAAATGACAATAGGAAAAACAATATTGCTGATTTTTTCCAGTTGCTAAGAATATTCTGTTTTTCAAAGCAAAAAAAAATTCATTTAATTTTTTTGCTTTGAGAAAGTCCACATTGGACGAAATGCATTAGCAACTACAGTTTTCCTATTGTCATTTATATTTATAAATATTGTCTTTTTTACAGGTTAACTCTGAGAAATTTTCATATATATATATATATATATATATATATATATATTATGGTCTATTTGTTCTTATCCCATACCTGGATATAGGTGTGTGTGTATGTATATGTGTCCATGCTTACTTTCACATGACTAAATAAATACACATATATATATATATATATATATATATATATATATATATATATATATATAAAGCCATTTTCTTCTTATCTATTTATTTCCATATAGCTAGAAAATTGAAATGAGTATGGGATGGGTAGGGAAGGGAGATTGAAGGAGTAGCCAGTAAAAAGTAAAAGGTAAGTTAAAAAGCTTGAGAAAAGTGAAAAGAAAAGCAGGTAAAAAAGAAAGGTAGAGGAATGAAGATGAAAGAAAGACACACAGACAGAAATAGGCTTGTTGTCTTGAGTTTTTATTACTCCTTTACCCCCTTTGATGTTTTAAAGTAGATGAAGCTTTATTTAATATTTTTTCGTTTGAAACACACCTTACGTAGGAAAGTAAATTAGGTAGTTAGTTAAGTAGGTAGATAATATTAATATAAAGATTATCCAAGTTAATGGGATGAAGGAATTAAACTTTTAAACTTTGGTTTTCATTTTTTGTTTGTTGTTTTCCATCAAAATATTTTATGGCTGATACACTTGACAGAGGTTGAAATGAAATTTGAATTGCACAAGTTAGGAACAAAGAAGTGTGAAGACCATATCAGTTACAAACTGTCATGGCGGAAGGCAATGAAAAAAAAAGAGGCAATGATTTCAGGACTAAAAATTCTTTGAGTATCATGATAAGAATCGGAATAACCACATGACAAGGACCTTTAATAATAACAAGAAAAACTGTAATCATCTGAATCATCATTTAAAAGACAAACCTGAACAGCATGTGATTATAAAAACAGAAATGAATAATGGTTGGAAAAATTGTTGTTTTTGATTTGCTTTCATCATTCTTTTGTATAACAGAAGAAATGAAATTTATTGAATAAAATGTGAAAACTGAATAGATTTATTTTCTCTACTAACGTTGCTGTAAAAGAACATAACTAAAAGCTTTGGACAACGCTTTTGGATTCTTGCCATTGCTTCCTAATAATGAAGGAGTAAGTTTAAGATTCATATAACTTTTCCTTTCAACACAACCTGACCTGACATTTCACTGTTAAGAAAGCTCTCAAAGATTTAGACAATTTAAAAGAAACCAGTTATAGCCTGAAAGTAGAGTTTTCTGCTGGGAGATTATCAGATAATAAAACACATCAAGAGTTGTTATCTCTGTATTCATCTACCTCCATTGGCCCCTATTTTATGAAAGGCATTTTATCAAATTTGTTTGCCACTGTTTTGATATATGAAGAACCTACAAAGGATTGTTTGCTCAAGAATTGTAAGACAATCGGAACCTTGATTCTTTCATCTAAGATTCACAAGGAAAAACTTGTAGAATCATTTAGAAAACAACACATCAATCTGTCAAAGCAGGTGACACCAAGCTACCATTGTAAGAAGGACAAGTAAAAATGATGGAAAATGTCCTGACGTATAACAATAGAAGTTTTTCAAAGAACTGATTGTTTTTGCTCCATTGAATCCAATTCTTTGCAACAAGAATGAAAATGCAGATGTATCAAATGATACAAAACAGTGACATGAAAAGACAAAAGTCTATAATGGAAAGCGCTGACTTTCTCTTTTCGAAATTGCCTGTCAACTATTTTTGAACCAATAATACAAAAATAAGCATACGGCAAAGTCAAGCAGAAAGCACGCTCATCTGGCCTTTCAGCAGAAGGGTCCTCTACTAAGAGTTGGGTAGCCAATCAAAATGAAATAAAACTAATTCTTATTTGCATTTGGAAGGAAGCAAGGCGTATGAACATCTGCACAGGAAGCTAAAAAGCTTATTAACTATCTTCTAGAAATGAGAGGCTGAAACTATGAGCAAAAAGGAATACTTGGTTAAGATGATTCTGTCAAAAAAAATTGCCTAAACAAATAAATCTTATTAATTTTTCTTTCTACAAAAAGGACAAATGCTAAAAATAAATGAAGAAATATCAAACCAGCACTGCATAAAGTTTTATCATTGTCAATATTTCAGGATCACTGATAGAAAAGAATCAGACAAAAGCAATTGAGAGAAATTGAAGAAGCATAAAAATCATATAAAAAGAGTCAATAAAAATAAAACTTTATGATGCCAAATGACTAAGTCGGTTCAAATTCCTAAAGAGTTGCATTTCTTCATTTTCATTTGAACATTAAAATAGATGAAAGTTTCACAGGAAATGACATCAAAGAGAGGAACCAGTTTTGTAGACAAGCACAAATATTTCATAAATTCTTTGGGAAGCTTGGATCCTGCTGGAAAATGGTGTGCCAAAGAAAAGCAAGGGTTATCAACAAAATTAATATAATACTAATGTTTGTCTGATCATTAAAAGAATAGTTGTTTGGTAATGAAAAATAATGAAAGCATTTTAAACAATTGTTGTGTTTGTGTATGTTCATATATATATATATATATATATATATATATATATATATATATAAAAAGAAAAAAAAGGCAACAATAAAAGTTGACACTGCATAATTCGTATAATTTCAGGATAACTGATTGTCTTAACATTTTCAAACAAGCAAAACCAGTTACACACATTTTCGAAAATTTGGAGAAAATTGAAAGAAAGAAAAATGAAAAATAGATTCAAATTAAAAGCAAATTAAATTCAGCAGCTTTTTAAAAATGCAATTAATATAGAAATATATAATAAATAAATTATATATATATATATATATATATATATATATATATATATAAAAAAGAACAAAAAAAGATAAAAAATATGACAGTAAGTGAAAAAAATAAAATCCGCCTTTGTTATTAATTTTTGTGCTTTTTTTAAAATATTTTTGTGATTTTATTTTAATCTTTATTCACTGGTTTAATTTTTGTCTCATTTTCTTAATTTTTTTATTGTTAAAGACTTTGAACTGACAAAAATATTTTGTTTTGTATTTTTTCAATTTCAACAGTTTATATTTATTTTATGAATTTGGATTTTTTCCTTTTTTTTCTGACAGTTCAAAGGTTAAATTATTTAACTTTGTTCCCTATTTTTAATATTTTGTTGGCTGGGGGAAATAATTGTAGATTTCCTGTGGGTCAAGTTTAGCTTCCCTAACTAACTAAGATAAAAAAATTATATAATTTTCTCACCTGGATCCGAATAAAAAGCAAATTATTTATGAGCCATGCAACTAAGAAGACTTATCATATGTTTTTTTACTTCATGAGGCTATATTTTTCAATTAAATATCATGGATGACATTTTTTTAACCATAGTAGTAGTAGTAGTAGTAGTAGTAGTTATTGTTGTTGCTTTGGATTTCAATTTTGTTTTCTGAATTCTTATCACTTAAACCAAAATAGCAACAAAATCCAACAAGTTCAAAAATTTCTTCCTAAAGAACAAAATTTCCTCTTCTTTTTCTTTCTTTCGTTTTCCTCCATCTTCGTTTGTCTTTTTCATAATAATAATAAAATGTCACAATCTTATTTCGGTATTTTTCTCTTCTTTCTTCCCGAGACATAACAAGTGCATTTCTTTTTTTTTCTGATTGGAGGTCAATGCCTCGCTTCTGATGCAAAAGATTTTTTTTTTTTTTTTTTTACTTTTGGATCCATCAACCTTTTTATCTGTCAGTCAATTCCAAAAATAGGACCAACTTTTCACTTCCAAGCTTTCTTTCAGTTCAGTATTTTATTTTAAAGATCAACGTCTTAATTTGGATATCACCATCATCATCATCATCATCATCATCATCATCATCATCATTATAATCTGATATAAAAACTCTTATCAACACTTATCACGATCACCATCATCATCATCATCATCATCATCATCATTATCATCACCATTCTGGTCTTGTTAATTATAATGTCACTTTTTAATTATTATTATTATTAATAATAGAGTTGACTGTAAGCATTAGAGTCTGTTCATGTTTTTATTTCAAAGTTGTTTTTTTTTTCATTGTTTTTGTTCTTTCTTTTTCTGTATTTGTAAATGATACACATCAGTTTGAAAGTCCATTTCACATAGATGGCCTTTGTCTTGTTAAGTATTCACCACCATAAGGTTGTTACCTGTAGGGGGCGAAGCTGTTGGAGAGTTTTGTCTCGAAGAAGTAGATCGTTGTGTAAGGTTGGTCTTCTCCCCAGGGGATGGAGTGCGGGAGGGTTCCACTACAGCTCCATCAATGCCCCCACTGGAGCTGCCCCTCTTACCTACAAGAGAACAATTCACATATTAATTTAGTACAGGGAAGAATAAGTGTAATAAATTTGAATGTGAGTTCTAATTTTTCTGTATATATTTAATCTCCAGGTACAGGTTTGGTACAGATAAAATAAAATTCTGATAACCAAAAACACTATTCTAAAGAGTGCTCAATACAGAGTAGAGCAAATAATATTTCTTCAAAATTATAACATATGCCTGTTATAACATCACTAAAAAAATAACCATTTTGTTTTAACACTTCTGGTGTCTTGTCATGTGATTTTGCAATCAACACTATCATTTAACAAGACCCCAGAATTGTTTAAACAAAATGGCTATTTTTGTAGTGATGTTATAACATATAATGATAATTTTGAAGATATATTATTTGCTCTACTCTGTATTGAGCACTCTTTTAAGAATAGTGTTTTTGGTTATTGGAATTTTATTTCATCTGTACCAAACCTGTACTTGGAGATTAAATATATACAAAAAATTGCACATAAAATATTATTTGTTGAATGGTATGCATAAAAAGAACTTTTGTTTTGACATCATTATAATCTGATATAAAAACTCTTATCAACACTTATCACGATCACCATCATCATCAATAATAGATTGGAACCTTTTGAAAACCTTTTATTTATACCAAATTTGTACCATAAATAGTAACTGAATGACTAATTGAAATTTGTTTAAAGATATGTGTTTGAAATTCAGAATTACTTTATCTTGCATAAAACATTTGCAAATCACTTATGAGACAATTTTTGTGTTGTATCCTAGGGAAGATTACTGAATAGAATATTCAAATGAAGGTTGTTAATGAACAATAATACTTAGGACAAGAACAACACATATAAGATTCGCCAGTGGTGTGTAGAAGAAGTGGTCAACTGCTAGAAGTGCATCAAGTGAATACTACAATGAATCTCTAACTGCAGGTGAACATACAGTATTTACTACTGTATTTATGTGAATGGGGACATACCCATTATCGTCCATAGGTATGCTACAACATTTTGAAAGGCTGACTAGAAATGAGAAAATTTTTAATGAAAAATTTATTTGAAACTAAATCAGATATTATCTAAATGGAATATAAATTTATTATTTTTTGGTGGTAGAGATATATTTTTTTAGAGGATTTAGATTTTTTAAAACGAATATCTTTATCAATCTGCATTGATAACTTTTTAAAGAATTGTTAATAAAACTGCATCAAATTGAACTACCAATGTAAACCATGGTCTACCATGAAGCTGCCATCTATCATGACACAAACCAACAACTGTAAAAAATCAAACCACCAACTAGTGTGACATGAACCATTCAAATTCCAGTCAAATTCATTAGATTTACTTACACACAAATCCCCTTGGGAAAGGTATGAATCCATCTCTTCTCCCCCAAGCTATGGGTTGAATAGCAGGGCAGACTGTGTCCTTTAACCTTGGTTAGCAACCAGTCTACTGCAGAAATAAATCGCATCCTACTGTGGAAAAAATCTTCCTTGTCAGTCATATATCAAAAGATACACGATTGCCGAAGCATGTATCATGTATGGCATTTAACTGACTGACTGAACTGTCAATTATATTTTTCTAGTAAGTTCATTACTCCATGGAAAACAGAAGAGCTTACCATGTCATGGACTCAGTTCAATATTGAGTGAAGTACTGTATTTTCTGGCTTACAAGACACACTTTTTTTCCTAAAACATATCCTGAAAAATACGTGTGTGCCTTCCAAGATGATTGTAAGGCAATGCCTAGGCTCAGGTAAGATTGGATGGTCACCTAATTGGATTGACTGATAGGGACATGGATTTGCATGTTGAGTCATTACACTATAATGTTAACTATCTATCTAATTCGGTCTTCGATTTGATGTAACCTCAGTACTTAGCAGTTACAAGTATTTCCAAGACTATAAACCTTCCTGGAGCCGAGCCACAAGCTTAAACGTGCTTTATTCACTAGTAGTGGCAGAAGCCTTTTTGATCTTGATTAGTATGTCATAGCCATACAAACAAAATCGGACAAGTGATTGGTTTGGTTTGGTTTATTTTGTTTTACGGCATATCAACCTTAATGGGTTATTTAATGCCGACAACATTTTTAGGATAGATTCATATGAATAGAATATGTATTCTTTAGTTTAGATTAGTTTAGTTTATTTTGTTTTACGGCATATCAACCTCAATGGGTTATTTAATGCCGACAACATTTTCAGGATAGATTCGTATGAATAGAATATGTATTCTTTGGTTTAGATTGGTTTGATTTATTTTGTTTTACGGCATATCAACTTCAATGGGTTATTTAATGCCGACAACATTTTTAGGATAGATTCGTATGAATAGAATATGTATTCTTTAGTTTAGATTGGTTTGATTTATTTTGTTTTATGGCATATCAACCTCAATGGGTTATTTAATGCTGACAAAAATTTTTATTGCTGGTAATATTTTGTTTTGTCAAAAATCTGTTTCTGGTAATATATTTCCTTCAAAATTGTATTGTTGGTAATAATTTTTTCAAAAAAGAATTTCTGCTAATAGTAAACTATTTTCCCACAGCTGGGACCCCAACAGGTGCCACCATTCCAGGCCAGTGCGGACCTGGGAACACTAGCAACCAAGAGGCAGCTCTATGCTCCCCAAAACCTCCCAATCAGAGGCCCCACTGCCAGATGTAGTTTAATATCTTGCCCAGGATGTGGACAAGTGATTACTATAAACAATACATGGCTCTAGTATGTGAGGGACATATGGTGAATGTGTTGTATGAGAAGGATTTTTTTTTCTTAGAAATTTCTTTCCAATATTAGGGCGCATCTACCAAGCTGCAGCATCTTATAAGCAGGAAAATATGGTAATTTGTATGAGTCGCATAAGGAGATTTCAGACGGGTCTTTCTGCCTATTTCCAATATACATGTATTCTGATCTTGGCCTTTTTTCTTCACTACAATAAAAAGGGTTCACATATTTTCAGTTTCCTAAATAGTAAAATGAAAAAAAAAAACTCTGCTTTTTTGTCTTTGATAAGCAAGTAATAAAAATGAGCAAGAAAGGAAAACCCTTTTGTTTGCCTTACCAGGTAGCACATTAGGAGTATCACTTCCTGTGGTTGTCATTGGAGCAGCTGTTGTGTGGGGAGTATTAGGGGTTGAATTGACCACCAAAGGTGCATGTGGAGTCATGATAAGACTGGACAGAGCTGTTGTTGCTGCTGGGGAATCTGAAAAAAGAATAAAGAAAAACTTAAGAAAAAAAGAAATACTTAAATTCTTGATGCACCATTTTTGTTGTTATGATATTAGAGAAGATTAATCTTACAAGCCATTGTTAGTGATTTCCTCATTGTAGCGACCATATTCCAGACAAGCCTTATATAATTTCTTTCTCTTTAGTCAAAACAGAAAATGCATTTCTTTTTAAATGATTTCTCTATTCAGTGGTTTGGATTTTCAAATCCATGAAATCTGTTCCCCATTATCTAACATCCATATTTGTTGTTCGTAGCACAATTTGATCGATGTGATTAACATGTGCTTCTGTGTGAGAATTGATGTCAAATGCCCTTTTTTTCTCTTATGGTGTTGTCATTGTGTATTGCTTTGGAACCTGAAAAGTTGCATGTGACATTTTATTACATAAGAGATAAAATAGGAATGAAAGCATGAAAACTAAAGGAGATTTCCATCTGAAAATTGGTCCTTTTATTTGGAATAAAGGAGTGTGTGCAAGAGATGAAAACAAGACAAACATACATCAGTATTGAAGTGTTAATTTTTAAGAATTTAAAATCATTTCTAAATGCAGTATACAGTAAGCACACACATAAGCAAACACACACACAGACACAGAAACACAAAGCATCATGGAGAGGAACATACATAAACACACAGACACAGAAACACACACAAACATACACACAGAGACATAGGGATTTTCCAAGTGTAGCTTAGATGTGGCACAAGGCCGAAAGTATGGGCGCCCAGAGACATATTCTAAATATATCAGTATCATTAAACACCATCAGGTGCTCCTTTACAGTTTTCCACTTGACAAGTGATGATTACTCCTGAGAATTCTATGGTAGCAGTAAAAAGTCTGTATTTGTCTATGTTTCTGAGATGAGGTATTATGTACACTATTTATATTATTCAGACTATTGTCCTCATCTTTGTTGCTGTGTTTATCACAACGTTTCAGCCGTTGTACGCTCCGGCCTTCTTCAGGTGGTTGGAATGTTGAAATGAACCCTTAACCAGGTATTGAACTCGCACTCTTTGGGTCCTGTCACTGGATCTAACTAACGCCTTTATCCTGGTTAAGGCAGTGGAGAACTTTCAGAGGGGAATTAACAGGAGATAACTGACAAAAAAACATCATAAAAAAAAACATCATCCATGGAACTAGAACCGTCTACCCCAGTGAGCGAAATAAAGGGTTCAGTTCAACATTTCAATCATCTGAAGAAGGCCGGAGTGTACAATGGCTGAAACATTGTGATAAACAAGGTGACAAAGATGAAGACAATAGTCCGAATAATGTAAATAGAGTAAAAAGTCTTATAAAAAAATTAGATTTTTTTTATTAAATTTTCATTTTATTTCAGAAATTACTTTGCATGAAAACCTCAATGCTGAACAAATGAAAATTCTTCTTATGATAAACTAATTGCAGCACAAATTAAATTTATTATCCTGATAAAATCATTACTGTACAAATGAATTTTTCCCATGAAAAAATCCTTGCTGCGCAAATGAAATTTCATATAATAATAAACTTAATACTGCATAAAGACAATTTAGTTGCATGATAAACACTTTGCTGCACAAATGAAATTTCATCTCATGATAAGGTCATTGGCGCACAAATGAAGTTTATTCACATGATAAACTGATTGCTGCACAAATTAAATTTCTTTTCACAAGAATCTCATTGTTGAACAAATTGAATTTCTTCTCATGATAAATCCATTGCTGCACAAATGAAATTTATTGTCATGATAAAATCATTGCTGCAAAAATGATTTTCTTTTTATGATAATCACATTGTGACAAAAAAAGACATGTTTTCTTATGATAAACTCATTGATGTACAAAGGAATTTCTTCTCATTTGAAAATCATTACTGGAGAAATGAAATTTTTTCTCTTGATAAAATCATTGCTGCACATATGGAATCTCTTCTCAAAGTAAAGCCATTGCACACAAATGAAATTTCTTCTCAGGATAAACTCATTTATGCACAACAAAAATTTATTCTCATGCTAATATCAATGATGCGCAAATGAAGTTTTTTCTCATGATAAACTCCTTGATGCACCACAGAAATTTCTACTCATAATAAAATAATTGCTGCAAAAATGAGATTTCTTCTCAGGATATTCTCATTGCTGTGCAAATGAAATTACTTTTCATATTAAACTCTTTGCTGCAAAAATGAAATTACTTTTCAGAATAGACTCATTGCTATGCAAATGAAATTCCTTCTCATGATAAATTCATTGTTGCACATATGAAATTTCTTTTTGTCATAAACTCCTGATGCACAAATGATATTTATTCTCATGATAAACACATTGATACACAAATTAAATTATTATGATAAAATTTTGCTGCACAAATAAAATTACTTGTCATAATATATTGCTGCACTAATAAAATTTCTTTTCTTGATAAATTCATTGACACAGAAAAGTAATTTTTTCTCAAAAAAAACATGTTACTTCACAAATGAAATTTCTTCTCATGAAAAACAATTTGCTGCACAAATGAAATCACTTGTCCTGATAAACTCATTGCTGCACAAATGAAATTAACTTTCATGATAAAGACATTGCTGCACAAAATAAATTTCTTTTCATGAAAAAATCATTATTGCACAAATGAAAATTCTTCTCATGATGAACTCTATTGCCCTCATAAATAAAATTACTTTTCATGATAATCTCTGCTGCACAAATTAAATTACATTTCATGTTAAACTCATTGCTACACAAATGCAATTTCTTCTGAAGAAATCATTGCTGCACAAATGCAATTTCTTTTCATGATATACTCATTGCTGCAGAAAAGTAATTTCTTCTCCTGATAAACTCATTACTGCACAAATGAAATTTCTTCTCATGAGAAATTGATTGCAACGCAAAAGAAATTTCTTCTCATAATAAATGCATTGCCACAAAAATAAAATCCTTTCTCATGATAAACTCATTGCTGCACAAATGAAAATTTTTCTCTTGATGAACTGTACTGGCCGTACAAATGAAAATTCTTTTCATGATAAACTCATTGCCACATTGCAGAAATTTCTTCTCATGTTAAACACCTTGCTGCACAAATGTAATCACCTTTCATGATAAACTCACTGCTACACAAATGAAAGTTAAAGTCATTGCTGCACAAATGAAATTGCTTTATATGATAACCAGAAATCACTTTATGTAAAAAATAATGAGGTAGTAGTCTTTTTCACGTAGATTTGTTTGCAAATATTTAACAAAACAATTCTTATCAAATTCTATCAGTATGTGAGATTCTTGACGTTTTCATTATGTAATTATCTGATAAGAACTGATAGTTTTTTCATTTATTTTTTGTGTATCACTTTTTTGGTGAGAAATAATGTTTGAATTTAAATAATGAGAGTAACATGATCAATGTTGAAATAAAATTGACAAATATCCATTGAAATTTAAATAACTGAGAGAAAATGAATTCCAAGCTTACTTTCAAGTTATGTTCACATTTAAAATGTGCAGCTGCTTAGTGTAGTGTATTAAGTTAACCTCTATCTCAATTAAATAAATTTTTAGAAAAATTACATCATGTCCGACAAAGACTTATTTAAAATTCCTCATGTTTTTAAGATGTGTTTCTGTGTATTCACAATAAATGAGTCATCTTTAATGATCCACATTCTTAAGCAGCAGAAGCTTTCTTGTAAATAACAAAACTGGCATAAATTTTGGATCTTTTAGGCTTTTAAATCTGCATTGTCGTCATTGTCTGCTTTTGGTCTAATGTTTTGACTTCATGACTTGAAATTGCAATTTACATAGCATTTTAAAATTGCTAGGCTTCTTCAGGACTTAGGCAGCCATGACTCTACATAGATACACCTTCCTTTTATCAGAAAATTACATTGATTTTATGGGAAAGATAGAGTAACTTTTTTTCTTGTCCACTATTTAAAATTCAAAGCTTTCTTCCTAAAATTGCTATTATTGAAAATTTCTGTACCAAGTTTGCTCTATTATTCAACCATAGTTCAATTGTATTCAGACAAAGAGAGACTCAAAGACTTGAATGGAAGTTGAACTCAACTCATCAATTCTACTTTCTGGACTGATGACTATTATGCCACACACACACATATATATATCCATACATCCTTGTGCAAATTAATTGAAACAACCACTTTAGTTTCCTTTCTTTCACCATACAGTCAGTTTTAGACCAACTGGAGTGACAGGGTGTAATCAATTTCTATTTTTTCTTCAGACTGGTCATTTGCAGTGGCATGCAGTAATATGAATCTATTTTCGGGGTGTGTGATGAAATTTGTTTTGCCTTGAAAAATATTGCATTATCCATGATTGCATCAGATTTTTATCACACCCAGCCACTATTGTCTTGACTGTCAATTAGTTGTCCTATGGCCATTGTCTGTGATAGACGTTACTCCAAGGAAGCATAAGAAAATTTGTAATGCTGCATGAATACACTGGCAAGCATTACCAGTAAGCAAATCAAAGTACTATTGATTGGTTTGGAAACTCTCCTGATTTAAATCCAATCAAGAATCTGTGATCAATCTGCAAGGAAAGACTTTGTGGAATGAACATACGGAGTACTAACATGTGCACAGGGTCATGTTTCAATGGAAAAATATGAAAAAAAAGTAAATAATAATGGAATTATTTGTTTTGTTTCAATTAATTTGCACAAGGGTGTATATATATCATTCATATGCACTTATATATATATATAGTCATATATACATATACATATTTAATATTTTGTTTCCTGCATTTTTATTCACATACATGGGAGTGTATGTGCACATGTGTGCACATTTGTGTGTATGTTTTTATTTCTGTATGTGTGCATTCATATGTATGCATATGCATTTGGGTATGTGTGTGCATGTGTGTACTTGTATTTAACTGCTGAACCGGGTATTTGTAAAAATCCAATGCACTGATAGAAGAACTAGAAGACAGAATAGTAAAGACTCAATTTGGGCAGAGTGGGTTGGGACGAGACCAACGAACAGCTGAAACAAAAACATGTTTCCTGATAAGACATGCATTTTAACAACTTTTAAACATCACACACACACATGAACATATATATGTAAATAAACTTCTGTATATCAGAGCAATGTTAGGCAATTTTTATAAACTTTACAGAGACAAATAGACAAATGATGGATATTTCAGATCACCATCCTCATTCTTGCTGTTGCCATAACAATGCCATGGCCACTGTGCCCTTCGGCCCTCATCAGGTGTATATTGAACTCGGTAATCTACAAGAAATTTTGAATTGAACCCTTTATTCAATCTATAGGGGTAGACTGTTCTCATTCCACTGCCAGTGTCTAGTTCTTATTTTTGTACAGCTTAGTTATTGCTTGCCCTTTTCCACTGAGTCCAAATGCAAATGCCTGGCACAGGGATTGAACTCACAATTACTATATCCCCAAATTCATGAGCCAATGTTTTGTAAAATATGAACTAGATGATATCCTCCAACATGGGCAAATGAATGAGAACAGTCTACCTCTGGTAACTCAGGATAACTCATCATTCTAGAAATTCAGACAGAAATGGTGGGTCGTTGAAAGACAAAATGTAAAAATCATATATGACATGTCCCTTCTTATAAAGGCTTTCTTGAAACTAAATATCTGTTTTTATTTTGTCTTTTTGAAAACAACAGTGATAAAAACCAATAACAGAAGCAGTAGGAAATCAGATGGGGTCAGCTTGGTTGTGCATCTCAAGACATCAGATGCCTGAAATTTTAAATTTAAAGTTAATCCTTCCTGCATTTTCAGATTTTCTCTTGATACATAATTACAAACTGCATTTGCTTTGCCTTTTGTTTCTGCCCACTACATACATATGATAATAATAAAACAATATGGCTAATTGTTAACATATCAACAAAAATATTATTTAGTCTGAAGAAGTCCATTTTTAGGATGAAACGTCCCAAATATGATTTTTCCATTTTGTCATATAGTATTTATTTAAAAATTATAACATAAATATGTTATAACATCATGACAAAAATAGCCATTCTCTTTCAACACTTCTGGTGTCCTTATCAAGTGATGGTGTTGATTGTGAAATAAAAAACAGCAATCATTTATTTAGCAATCAACACCTTGATAAGACACCAGAAGTTTTGAAACAAAATGGCTAATTTTGTAGTGATGTTATAACATGCTTTTGTTATAATTTTGAATAAATATTATTTGCTCTACTTTGTATTGAGCACTCTTTTAAGAATAGTGTTTTTGGTTATTGGAATTTTATTCCGTTTACACCAATCCTATACTTGGACTTTTTGTCACACACACACACACACACACATATATATATATATATATATATATGTATATATATGTATATTCAAAATTATAACATATGCATGTTATAACATCACTAAAAAAATAACCATTTTGTTTCAACACTTCTGGGGTCTTGTCAAGTGATTTTGCAATCAACACTATCATTTGACAAGGCTCCAGAATTGTTGAAACAAAATGGCTATTTTTGTAGTGATGTCATAATTTGCATATTTTATAATTTTGAAGAAATATTATTTACTCTACTCTGTATCGAGCACTCTTTTAAGAATAGTGTTTTTGGTTATCGGAATTTTATCCCATTTGTACCAAACCTGTACTTGGAGATTAAATATATACAGAAAAATTACACATAAAATGTTATTTGTTGAATGGCATGCATAAAAAAAAAAAATTGGTTATTGGAATTTTATTCAGTCTACACCAATCCTATACTTGGACATTTTGTCACACACACACAGACATATATATATATATATATATATCTATATATATATATATATATATATATGTCATCACACATTATGAATGGACAAAGTTCGACAATTATTTTAAGACATTTTTTTATGTTTATATGTTCTTTTTATAGATACAAATATTTAAGTAAATGCTCTGTT